CCATCATGTTGACAAAGAAATGTATACATGCAAGGGCCTATAACAAATGGTAGGGTCTGAACATGGGCTGAAAGAATACAGCCAATGATGTGGAGACAGTTGTTATTTAAAATGTGCTTGTGTTACTTTGTTTTGGAAGTGCTTATGCAACTATTGACAGGAGTTGAAAAAAAACAATACAGTTATTCATTTTTTATTTCAAAAATAATAATTTTTCAAGAGTATTTGGACTCCGGGATTCTTTTTTTGCACAGTATTTCACCTGCCTTTGAAAAAACCCGTTCACAGGGCCACGCGGGATGCAAGGTGAACATTAATTATGTAATAGGCACAGTTTATATAAATTTGGAAATGTAAACTTATGTTTGTCCTAATATTGAAGGGACTTTCGCGTCGGCGGGAATATTTGGCTCCCCAGGTACTGTTTGGACCTCCACTGTCAGACGTTGGCAGTTATGTTTGGGGTTTGGTCTGCTGGCAATGTCGAGTCAAAAAGTGTATGCACAGTTTGTCCCTAAAACAGAATAAAACAGGTTATGAGTTGACTTATTAGCACAATAGAGTATACCATATTACCTCAAGCTACAGATGATGAAGAAACTGTGAGGATGATGGATGATGATGATGATGAAGCAGAGCGGACAATGGACGTCTCAAACTCGAGCACATTCGTCAATTCACTCTTTTTTCAGCTTCTGCTGCCTTAATTGGGTTTGAAGAATCCAATCTTTTTAAATCTGGGATCAAGCAAGGTAGAGATGGACATGATGCTCATTGATTGGAGGTGGGTGAAGCTTGTCCCTCCAGTTGGCTTTCGCAACATACTCAGCCATGTCTCTGCTCTCTTGGTGTTTTGGATATGGCCGATCCCTTTCTTCCAGAGCATATGGAGATGGTCAAAAAGTGAAACTACTTTTACCCAGAGACACTTTTCTCTCGGACACCTCAATTGTGGCCATAGTTGAAACGGAGCGAGCACCTTCAGACAGTTCTGCAATGATGTTATATTGTTCTGCTGAGATTTGTGTAATGTCAGTACGAAGCCAGCCAAAGCTGCTCCACAGGCTCTCTCAGGTTGAACAGGACGCTGAAGCATTAAGTATGTGCTGTTCCATCTTGTATCCACTCTTGAATAAGTTTAAGCACGGAGGAGACCCTTTTGTGATTGGATTGTGTAAGTCATCCTATAAAACAGTCAACATAATTAAAACAGTGCAGGGGAGCAGAAATAAAATAATTGACATATTACAAGTAAGGACCATACCTTTGGCAGTAGTGCTGCCTCTTAAAGTATCTACTATCTTACGACAGTTTGTCCTGATGTCACACAAACAGGACTTTGGTTGAGAGCTTTTTTGATCATTAAGTTAAGCGTGTGTGCTACACAAATCTGTATGACGCAGATGCAGCTCTCGGAGCACAAGCTCCCATATTTCGCAGCACCATCAGATCACCCAAGAATGTTCACCTATACCTGCTAAACCCCACTCTTGACATAAGTCGAGGTCTCACTCTCGCTTGATTTGTGCATGTATGTGCCTCAGGGGAAATGCTGCACCCAAGGACAACAGTCTGCAGAGAAGTGCTCTCGTCATTTAAAATGACCAGTCACTGCCAAGATTAGGATCAGTGTTGATGAGAGGTCCACATGTCTGCCTGTTAATAAATAACGCATCAGTTTGATGGAGGTCCACACTGTCTGCTGTAAACTAACAGCAGATGCAGAAGACACCACCACTTTGGCCTTGTCTTTGGCTTCCCTGTATCTCTTTCTCCACATGGCTTTCAAAGTCTGAAAAAGTAAAGTCTTGAATAGTGGATCTGAGGATAAATTAAATTGTTAAATATGTTACATAAGATACCTGCCCGTGGGAAGAACATAAGATGGTGCCAAAGCTGTATCACAAGCTTTCGGAAGCAGTTCCACCACAATGGAAAAGGGTGGGAATCCTAATCACCATATCCACAACGCCTCAGTCAAGTCAACCATCTCCGCTGAAAGAAAATGCACATTAGGGTTAGAAATTTTTCTTAATGAACAAATACATTCAAATCAAATATATTTAGTGTAAATTGTCGGACAATCATCAATTATTATCATGATATAAATGGCATACCCGAGCACAGGATCACTCTGGGTTGGAATCCACATGCTCATGCAGGCCGATAGTGCCTTCGCATAGCTGAGGTGTTATTATTATATCCAGTTGTTTGGAGCTAACATGTGACACTTCACTGAAATTGAAAAAACTATTATTCAAAACGTATTTTAAAAGAGAAAAAGTGAGCAAGAGAAATTATGTGTTCTGTCTATTTGTGTAATCTATTATTACAGAATATTGATATGCTTCACCTTAATAGGTGAGATCTCGCTCAAGTGCTACCAAAACTGGAGAAATCTTCTGCTTTCTTGCCGGTTCCATCGCAAAAAAGAAGCTCAATAGGATGCAAAATAGGATGCCAAATGAGAGCGCATACCAAAAAAACACAAGTGATGAAGGGGAATCCATTGCGTTCACTCGTCCCTCCCCCCATTTTATTTCCAACCGCTCCAAACAACATCATTTCCGATCAGTCACGTGGTACGGCCGTTGCGAGGTTCGACGTCAACCACACACGTGACCAATAACGCCTCGACCCACACTTCAAAAGAAACCGCCCCCCGATTACTCGGTCACGCTTCGAAGACTCGGTCCGCTCGCACATCACTAGTATTTTAATACTCCACTCTTCACTAAACTGAAAATACGGACAGAACTTTGAAACCAGGGGGATTTTGTTCGGTACAAACGTTTCGGCTAACTTTACTCGGAGTCCAAAGGCGCACATCGTGCACAACCATTCATTGAAATCAGCCATTTGGATCGCGTGGGCTTGGCGCCAATAGACAGTAGCGGTAGATGCGGCGTCTACTCTTTATAATGTACTATGGTTCTGTAGGCACTGAGCTTCTGTCTGCTCTTCATAGTTACACATTTGTTTTATTATCAACATTTCTTGTCCTCGAGAGATACTTCGTCTTGGACTCGGTGCTACACAGTTGTTTTAACAATAAAAATCACAAATATTCGAGAATAAAAGACAACAATATAAACACGAAGTGAACGTTAAAGTTAAAATTGAACAGACTCGGTAAAAGATGCTAGCGGCTGTGGTAATGCTAACGCTAACAGCACTAGCATAAACACACACTCACCGAATCGCACGGAGCAGGAGACAGCTGCCGGTGGTAGAAGGAGCTCTACACGGGGATCATGCTGATGTTCCCTCTGCTCCAATCAAGCTGCTGACTTTATGAAGCACAAAGATCAAAGATCGTTGTTAAGGACAGATGCTAGTGGAGAATAAACGCTCTCACGTTGGTATCTTTAGCCTCTTGTCTGGGACTATTGTTGAAACAGCTTGGCAGCACAGGGAGCATGAGCATAGAGGAAGTTAGCGACCAGAACAACATGACTACATCCTGTAGCGCCTTCAAAAATAAGAGCTTCTGTTAGAACAGGGGAGTAAGAGCGATATAATATAGTATTATTTAACACCCCACTCGCTGTTAGCTCACTGGGTAAAACAATACATTGCATTTGCATACATTTTTAACATGCGAAACATTTTCTTTGAAAAAGCTTTTGTTCAAAGATCAGCTTTTGTATCAGTAAGTAAGTAGTAAGTAATCTTTATTAATATACCGCCTTTTCATGCACATCGGAGTCTCCAAAGTGTGTGTGTGTGTGGGAGCGCGCAAAGTGCTGTGGGTGTAGATGCAAACAGGAATGGAGTAAAGTGCGATCATTAAAGTGATTGTCCCGCCTGGAGTTTGTCAGAAAGACAGAGAGGTACTTGATTTGAAAAAAACGACGCAAGCTCCCTCCCCCTTCCTTTCTGATTGGTCTACACCTACGTTTCCGTAACACTTTTTAAATGTTAATCAGAGAACACATTATACATATACATTATTAATACACATGCACGGAGGTTTTCAGAATTATTTGTGAAAGTTTTAATGAAAAAATATATGTTTTTATGCACACAAAAAAGCGATCGCGGCAAACCAGGAAGTGCTATTATCATGAATTGCACATTATAGGACACATCTGCAGAGGATCTGATTATGGATATAGGTTCAGTATATACATAAGTACCTCAGCGTGGATGTTCAGAATTCTTTGTTCAGTTTTCATGTAGTTCCAGAGCCTAATAGAGGCTCCGCGAAAACAAACAACTGCGCATGCGCGCAGCTGCGAGCATCAGCGCCGATGATTGACATCCCTTGGCATGACTCGATTGGTTAACCTCGACGGCACCGTGGATTCTGAACTATAGTTAAGAGCAGGGAAGGCGGGACTTGCCCGTAATATTAGAATTAATAAAATGACTTATTTTATATCAACATTTAAGCCAGGAGGTCAATTTAACACATTTCCTAAAATTTGTAATTCATTTAGAGTTACAGACTATCACTTTAAAACCCATTTTTATGTGACGAGAGCTGCGGTGATAGTGTCTATACTGGCTCACGGTCTATGGAGGGAGAAGATTTGTTCGCCCCGCTGCCTGCTCCCGCGCAGTTTGCCCACACAAACCCTTTTGTTGGAGCCACAAGTCACACGGGAGGTTTTGTACATAGCACGCCAGCTTCGTACAACCCAGCTGCATGTACCCTCCCCTTCCAGAGTCTATATATTAATCCACCAAGGACTGTGACATATCAAAATCCCATACAGCCCCAACCAGATCACTCATCCCCACATAAGAGCCACTTCGGGTCCCGGAGGACCTCATCTTCAGAGAACGATGACGATTGTGACTTTAAAGAGGAGGGTCCCCACTCTACTCCCTGGGCAGTATGATGGAAGTACACCATGGAGAGAGTTTATGCACAAATTTGACCACACTGGTCAGCTAAAACAATGGCGGTTCAGTTGAAATTCTGCTTGGTTGGAGCTGCAGGGGCCATCGTTCACCGGAATCCACGCTCATCGAAATGGGACTACCAGCGGCTATTACAGGAGCTGGAGAGCGCGTACGGCCCTTCCTCCGATCATGCGGCAGCGGTTGCAGTGGAACTGAGGCAGAGAATACGCCAGGCTGGTGAGGCGTTGCATGTTTTCCGGGACAATATTTATGGAAAACTCTCTGTACTGCACCTCTCTGTACTACCTCTCTGCACACCTCTCTGTACCGCAACCTCTCTGTACTGCACCTCTCTGTACTGCACCTCTCTGTACTGCACCTCTGTACTGTACTGCACCTCTCTGTACTGCACCTCTCTGTACTGCACCTCTCTGTCCTCACCTCTCTGACTGTACTGCACCTCTCTGTACTGCACCATCTCTGCACCTCTCGTACTGCACCTCTCTGGTACTATGCACTGCTGCACCTCTCTGTACTGCACCTCTCTGTACTGCACCTCTCTGTACTGCACTCTCTGTACTGCACCTCTCTGTACTGCACCTCTCTGTACTGCACCTCTCTGTACTGCACCTCTCTGTACTGCACCTCTCTGTACTGCACCACTCTGTACTGCACTACCTCTATACTGCACATACTGCACACTCTCTATACTGCACCTCTCTGTACTGCACACCTCTCTATACTGCACACCTCTCTATACTGCACACCTCTCTGCACACCTCTCTGTCTACTGCACACCTCTCTGTACTGCACCTCTCTACTCACACCTCTCTATACTGCACACCTCTCTATACTGCACACCTCTCTATACTGCACCTCTCTATACACCCTCTCTATACTGCACACCTCTCTGCACCTCTCTGTACTGCACACTCTCTGTACTGCACCTCTCTATACTGCACACTCTGTACTGCTCTCTCTGTACTACACCTCTCTATACTGCACACTCTCTATACTCTCTGTACTGCACACCTCTCTGTACTGCACACCTCTCTGTACACCTCTCTATACTGCACACCTCTCTATACTGCACACCCTCACTCTCTATACTGCACACCTCTCTATACTGCACACCTCTCTCTATACTGCACACCTCTCTATACTGCACCTCCTCTATACTGCACACCTCTCTATACTGCACACCTCTCTGTACTGCACACTCTCTATACTGCACACCTCTCTATACTGCACACCTCTCTGTACTGCACACCTCTCTGTACTGCACACCTCTCTGTACTGCACACCTCTCTATACTGCACACCTCTCTGTACTGCACACCTCTCTGTACTGCACACCTCTCTATACTGCACACCTCTCTGTACTGCACACCTCTCTATACTGCACACCTCTCTGTACTGCACACCTCTCTATACTGCACACCTCTCTATACTGCACACCTCTCTATACTGCACACCTCTCTGTACTGCACACCTCTCTATACTGCACACCTCTCTATACTGCACACCTCTCTATACTGCACACCTCTCTATACTGCACACCTCTCTATACTGCACACCTCTCTATACTGCACACCTCTCTATACTGCACACCTCTCTATACTGCACACCTCTCTATACTGCACAACTCTCTATACTGCACACCTCTCTATACTGCACACCTCTCTATACTGCACACCTCTCTGTACTGCACACCTCTCTGTACTGCACACCTCTCTATACTGCACACCTCTCTATACTGCACACCTCTCTGTACTGCACACCTCTCTGTACTGCACACCTCTCTATACTGCACACCTCTCTGTACTGCACACCTCTCTATACTGCACACCTCTCTGTGCTGCACATCTCTCTGTACTGCACACCTCTCTATACTGCACACCTCTCTATACTGCACACCTCTCTGTACTGCACATCTCTCTGTACTGCACACCTCTCTATACTGCACACCTCTCTATACTGCACATCTCTCTGTGTTGAACACCTCTCTGTACTGCCAACTCACTGTTCTTAATAATGTCCCCACTCTGAATGCTCTGATCAGAAATGTTATGTATAAGTTCATGAAACGCTCTGAGGGCTCTATGTCCAAAGTACAGCTTTGGGTAAGTTTATGAAGCTCGTGTAAGCATTCGATCCTCTTAAGTAGCATAAGCTGCGTGTAGCTTTATCGTCAGTTGGTTGTGTTTACATCTAAAACCACAAGAAAAAAATGCATTGCTTTTTTATTAAAAAATCTTACCTTCTAAATGTTTGAAATTGGTGATTTTTGTAGCGATTAAAACAATCGATGGGCAGGAAAAAAGAGAGACAGATCACGCTCGCAACAGGTAATCTAATAGGAGAGCCTGATTTCATGCCCACTTTTTGAGAAAACTACCCACAATGCTGTACGGTCGAGCCGGAAGCTCTTGATCCCTGTATAGATCCAGGACCTAAGCTACAGAACGTGGACCATTGGCCGCTGAACGTGGACAGGTCCGGTGCAGGACTGAAGTAAGTAGTAAGTAAGTAATCTTTATTTATATACCGCCTTTTCACTGCACATCGGAGTCTCAAAGCGGTTTACAATTGTTATTTTTGGGAGTGGGGGGATGCCAGACCTATTGTACATATTTTTAGTGGTAGGGGAAACCGGAGCACCCGGAAGAAACCTACGCAGACACAGGGAGAACATGCAAACTCCACTCAGAAAGGCCCTGGTCCGACCGGGATTCGAACCCAGGACCTTCTTGCTGAGAGGCGAGAGTGCTATCCACTCAGCCACCGTGCCGCCCCACTCTCAGGTAGAGTTTTGCTTTTCAGCCCGAGCCCGAGCAGGCCCAAGGCCCGACCTGAGTTCGGGCCGGGCTCGGGCCTCATTTGGCGCTCAGCTGTCGGGTTCGTGCCGGGCTTGGGCTTCTTTTTTTTAAATATATGTTTCTTTTTTATTATTATTATAATTATTTTTAAATGATTTTTATACATAATGATATGCATATATATATATATATATATATATATATATATATATTAATAACAATGTCCGTTGATTGACAACAAGTTATTAAAAAAAGTTAATATATTAATGACACCGTAACCAGCGTGTCCTACAGCAGCAGCGAGCCGTGAACGCATCATCCCCGTGTCTCCTGCTGCTGTGGTCAACAGCGAACAGGAACAATAGTAGAAATGGATCAAGTGGAGACAAAACAAATTCAAAAGTGGAGACTAAACTTGCAATTGGAGGTGAGTGCGTACAACGGGAAATCAGATGTGTCGGGTTCTGTCGGGCTCGGGCCTGTTATACAGCGTTCATTGGTCGGGCTTATACGGGCTCGGGCTTAACATTAGCGGGCTCGGGCCGGGTCAGGCTTCATTTCTCAGGCCCGAACGAAACTCTACTCCCAGGCGGGTCGGGCGGGGCAGTCCACAGGTGTAGATGGAGGAGGCCAGGCTCAGAGATCCCGTCATCGTACCATGAAACAGACAATGGGAGGAAGGAGAAGAGGATAGTGCAGTTACCATACTTCTCCAGCAGGGGGCTCCCTATGCAGCTTGACTGACAGTCTGAGGAGTTTAGCCTTCCCTGAGTCTTACCTTCCTAGCCATATGCTAACTAAAAAGGACCGTTTTTTGCCTAGCCTAGAACGTAGGGTTGAAGATGCAGCGGACCGGATCCCACATACGCAGACTCCAAGACCGGACGAAACCTGACCGGACAAAACAACCTAACCAAATGCTAAGTTGAAAAAGAGTGTTTTAAGCCTGGCCTTAAATGTAGAAACAATGTCTGCTTAACGAGGGTGGGGAGCTGATTCCACAGTAAAAGAGCTTGGAGCTAAATGCTCTGCCACCGACAGTGCTTTTTGAAACCTCAGGGACCCCCAGACGTCTGGCGTTTTGCGAGCGCAGTGCTTGGCTTGGTTGATAAGACATTAACATTTATGGCTTTATATGTTAAGAGAAGGATTTTAAACTTTATTCTGTACTCCACAGGGAGCCAGTGGAGTGATTTTAACACCGGAGTTATGTGCTCCCTCCTTTTGGTACCTGTTAAGATCCTAGCTGCTGTATTCTGAACGAGCTGGAAGCTCTTCAAAGAGGCTTTAGGGCACGCTGCCAGTAAAGCGTTACAGTAGTCGAGCCTTGAGGTGACAAACGCGTGGATTAGTTTTCCGCGTCACTTTTAGGAAGGAAATTCCTGATTTTAGCGATGTTCCGTAAGTGGAAACATGCCATTTTAGTTGCTTGGCTTATATAAGCCTTGAAGGAGAGTTCTTGGTCAAAAACGACTCCAAGATTCCTCACAGTGTTACTGGGTATAATACTGACATTATCAGAGTAATTATCTGGTTAGTGAGGGAGTCACGCAGGCGCTTCGGACCGAGTAGGATCACTTCTGTCTTCTCCGGGTTGAGAAGTATAAAGTTAATAGTTTTAAGGTCCTTTATGCAGCACTAAGCTTTTCTAGCTGATCCGTCTGATTTGGCTTCATCGACAGTTAAAGCTGTGTGTCATCTGCAACAGTGGAAATAAATTCCATGCTTTTTAATAATGTTTCCTAACGGCAGCATGTAGAGAGTGAAAAGAATCGGTCCGAGTACCGATCCTTGGGGCACACCGAATTCCGCTCTATAGTAAGGTGACGAGTCCTGATTCACATTGACGAAGTGATATCGATCTGATAAATAGGATTTAAACCAGCCAAGGGCTGTTCCTCTAAGACCTATATCACATTCTAGCCTCTGCAGTAGAATGCTGTGGTCTATTGTGTCAAATGCAGCACTAAGGTCCAGTAGGACCAGCACTGACACTTGTCCATTATCGGCAGCTAGTAGTAAGTCATTTGTGACTTTGACTAGTGCCGTTTCAGTGCTATGATGAGCTCTGAATCCTGATTGAAAGACTTCAAACATATCATTTTCCTGCAGGTGGCAGCAAAGCTGCTCAGCTATTGCTGAGTTGCAGCTGACGTCACGCAGCGCGACAGTCCTCCGAGGGACAGGAAGTGAATCTCTCCACTAAGAACAATGTTAAAATGCACTCATTCAGAGTCAAAATGCTCTTTTTCTGTGGCGTGTACAGTTGTGGCAACTGCTCATATCAAGTGGGGAACTTATGGAGTCTCTATTTCGCTAAAATTTATTTCACTAACGGGTGTTGATTTTTAGGAAAATGCCTAACAAGGAACGGTTGAAATGCGCTAGCATTAGCATTAGCCTGCGTAGCATCTGCGGCCACAGACATAGCCGACAGTCTACAGCAGGGGTGTCAAACTTATTTTGGTTGAGGGCCAAATAAAAACTGAAAGGGCTGATCAGGGGCCGAAAGAATAAGTGGGTTTAATGTATTATACTTGTTTATAATATGAAGGTATCTGTATAAATGAGTTGTTTCACATTAGTTGGACTGGACCAAAACTGGACCAAATATTGAAGGTAGAGGAAGATATTCTACTTCTGTGTGGATCATCAGACTA